GAGAGAGAGAGAGAGAGAGAGAGAGAGAGAGAGAGAGAGAGAGAGATAGGCAGAGACAAAGAGAACAAACGTTTTCCTTATGTGACTGTTAGCATCTTAACTCCATTCTACTCCTCTGTGTTTAATAAACGCTTTGCCCTATCAGTCCATAGCGGGCTAATCTAAAGACGGATCAGAAGGAGTGTGTCTTTGAAGGGAGATGGGCGTCTGTGTCTGGCATCTGAGCTCAGCCTGTTTTGGAAGCTCTGCTCCCTTGCCTCCCCCACTCCATGTGTGGTGTGGTAAATGGGCCTCTGCAGGAAGGTGGGTCAGCCTTGAGGTGCTGACAGCAGGGCTGTGCCGGGTGTGGCGGGTGGAGCTGTACACCCTGCAGTTTGCAGGTGTGGTGCTCGGTCTCGGTCTCGGTGCTGAGGTTGGGCCAGAGATCCTAAGAACCACTCGGTGTGAATTTTGGTTTGGGGTATTTGTTTGTGTTGGGCATTGCACCCAGGGCCTCAGGCACGCAAGACACATGCTCTGCCAGGGAGCTGCCTCCGCAGCCCGTCAAGCTCCTGGTAGTATGGTCTTGTGTTTCCGCAGCTGTGGTCTCTCTGAGGAACAGAGCCACCGGCAGGCAGTTTATGAAGCCCTCCTAGGTGAAGCCACCGAGCCTGAGTGCTGGCGCCACCGCTCCACTTTTCTATTTCTCTGTTTTTGCACGTTTTCTGTTGCATAGAGGCCAGTGTAGGTGCTTAGGGTTAGGTTCATATGTACTTTGTTCATGCTAAAGGGTGTGCCCAAATGGTATCGCTAGACACAACTTGCTCAACATCGGTGGGTGGTGACTGTCCGAGCCCGCCTGCAGCGGGTGAGTGACACAGCGGTGAAGGCAGTCCCTCCTCGAGTAGGTTGTTAACACCTAGAGGAGGCTGCCGGTCGCAGGGGAGACGCTGCAGATGGTCGTGGGGAGCAGCAGCCTTCTGGCTCTTAGCCTTATGACTGCAGTGCATACCCATAATCCCCGCTCCTTGGAAGGCTGAGGCGGGAGGATCGCAAGCTAGCCTGGGCAGCTTGCAGACCCCTATCTCAAGATGTAAAAAGGATTGGGACAGAGCTCGACAGCTGTGTTTGATTCCTGGTGCCTCAGAACAAAACCTGCCCAGGTGGCTCTGGCTAGCGCTGCAGCTGGGGTTCAGGAAGTCAGGTGCTTCCTGCAGTCCGGCAGCCTTGCCTCTCCCTGCAGCTGCTGGAGCAGCCACTGGCTGCAGACCTGCCAGCTCAGGCCTGCGGTGCTCAGTCTCGTTTGCTTCTTACAGAAATCGTTGCCAAGGTCAGGGAAGTCTCCCAGCCTAACTGGACGCCTCCGCCCGAGGCCACGCTGGTGCTGACTAAAGAGAACTTTGATGAAGTTGTGGGCGATGCCGACATCATCCTGGTGGAGTTTTATGCCCCCTGGTAAGATGGGTGGGTTCCATGTCCAGGCCCAGTGAAGGTGGCAGAGGGGGCTCAGCGGACATGGCTAAGCTTGGGGCACCACGTCTCCTGGAAGGAGGGTAGTCATGAAGCTCTGCTGGGCAGTGGATGTGGCAGGAAGTGGGGAGAGGAACCTGAGAAGCAAATGCCAGGAGGAGCAGAAGGTGCAGCTGGCTTCTCTGTGAGGGTCCCCACAGCTAAGGACCCAGATGGCTACTGTCTTCTGGCTCATGGGGCAGACGTGTGACCACACGGGGATGCTCCTGTGTCCCCAGGACACGGCTGTAGTGCCATGTTATCTTGCAGGGAGTGGCTCGGGCAGACCTGGCCCCAGGTAGGTGTGCCCTGGAAATGGGTTGGAAGCCTGGGAGTTTGGGATCAGGAGTGTGGCTATAAGGTTGGAAGGAAAACTGTCCTTTCTTCTCTGAGGCCATCCCTGCCTGTACTCTTGCCATCTGCCAGCCGTTGGACCAAGGAAATATTTCCTTTTGTAGCATATCCTCCGTCTCAGCCTTTCCCACTTACTCTGGGCCCTGGTCCCTGACGCACCTCTCTACATGCATGAACATGCATGTGTGTGCACATGCACATCCCTGAGTGAATGTGGCAGGGTGCTCGGTCATCCTGGGGCCCACCCACTGGGCATGTGCTCCCACTGGGGCGGACCTTGACAGCTGGCTTCCTCCGGGCAGGTGCGGGCACTGCAAGAAGCTGGCGCCCGAGTACGAGAAGGCGGCTAAGGAGCTGAGCAAGCGCTCTCCCCCGATCCCCCTGGCCAAGGTCGATGCCACTGCGGAGAAAGACCTGGCCAAGAGGTTCGATGTGTCCGGCTACCCCACCTTGAAAATCTTCCGCAAGGGAAAGCCTTTTGACTACAACGGCCCTCGGGAGAAGTACGGTACGTGGAGTCCTGCTCTGCGGCGCCTGCTGGGCCGGGTGGCCGCTGGCCCTGGCCCCTCCTGAGGCCTGTGCTGTGCCCCCAGGTATCGTGGACTACATGATTGAGCAGTCGGGGCCTCCCTCCAAGGAAATCCAGAGCCTGAAACAGGTCCAGGAGTTTCTGAAGGATGGGGATGATGTCGTTATCATTGGGGTCTTCCAAGGAGACAATGACCCTGCCTACCAGCAGTATCAGAATGCAGGTGGGTGTTGGCTGTGCGGCGGCCTGGAGTGCTGGGGGAGGTGGCTTTGCACCCTGGGCAGAGGCCAGCTGTGCCATCCTCTCTGCCTTCAGAGAGGAGGCTTGGCGAGGTCCCCCTGAACATGGCCTGGGTTCTGGTCCGTGGCATCAGGACTCCAGCCCAGTACCTAGAGGGGTGGGGTGGCCTTTCCTCCCCATGGTATTGTCATGTGGCTGGGGCAGTGGGACACTCAGCAGAGGGCCTGTGAGTGCCAGTCCCACTCTCTGAGATGGGACCTGGCAGTGGTCACATTTGAAGTGCTAATTAGAAGCTTTAAACGCATTGTGGCTGCTTAGCACTGGTGTCTGTGTGACACTGTGACAGATGTGCAAACATCTGTAGTAAAATCTGAGAGCACCGCTAAATCCAGTCCCTGGTCCTGGCCTTGGTCGCACAGGTGGCCTTGATTCCTCGTGCGGGTGCTTCTGCTGTGTCTGTGTGGGCACAGGTCTCCAGGCTGACCCCACACTCTGGCCTCTGGCCTGTGTGCTGAGGGCTGCAGCGACACCTGTGTCACCACCCCTGGCTGCTCATTACCCATTCTTGATGTGTCAGGAAGAACCTTGCAGAGGGAAGCCCCAGTCTACCAGGACTTTTGGATTACAAAAAAAAACAGAACACAGCATTTGGGGCTCCCAGCGGGCAGGCGGAACCTGAAGCCCCACGAGGGCACTAGCTGCGAGAACATAGTATAAGACGCAGGGACCGCTGATGCTTACGTGTTCTCTGTGGTATGTGAGCCTCAGTGACCCTGGCTGCACGTCACCCGAGGCGGCAGTTGACGGCGACTCTTTTCTGTGGACGTTCAGTAGGTTCTGTTCTGGCAGAGCACAGGGCGCAGCATGCAGGCACCGCGTGCTGAGCATTTCAGGACAAGCTCCCGGGGGTCAGCCGGGGGCTGCCCCTGCGGGATTCACCCAGTAATCGGGTTTTCCAGGGCAGGTGCTGTGGCCGAGGTTGGGCAGACGAGCGATGGAATAAGCCAATTTTACCTTTCTGTTAATGTGCCAGCCAACAACCTGAGAGAAGATTATAAGTTTCACCACACTTTCAGCACTGAGATTGCGAAGTTCCTGAAGGTGTCCCCAGGGAACCTGGTCGTCATGCAGCCTGAGAAGTTCCAGTCCAAGCACGAGCCCCGGAGCCACATGCTGGCCATCCAGGTGAGGAGCCCGGGCGCCACCCGGCCCATCCCTGCTCCCCGCCTTGGGTTGCAGGAGGGTGGGGTTGGAACGGCACAGCAGGCAGGTAGGTCCTGCGCCTTGGCTCTGTTCCCTCACGCAGCCAGCTCCCGGCCTGGCAGCCCCGCTTCCTCATGGGTTGCCTGAGTCACCAGGACAGCGTGACAGGTGCTTTCAAGCCCTTGCTTGGAGCTGGCACGCTCCTTTAGTGAACTTGGCCTTCATTCGTGCTGTGTCCTCCCAGCAGTGGTGGAAGGGCACTCGAGGTCCCTACCAGGCCCAGCCTGGCCCAGCCCAGTGTCCCAAGGGCTTTGGCGGACAGACTTGGGTTTGGAAAGAGCTGTTGACTCGGGGCCGACTGTCTGCCCAGCCCCTGGGCCTGCTTGGTAGCAGTAGAGCTGGGTGGGAGTGCAGGTGGCCCCGTGCTTTCAGCTGCCCTGGCGCAGCATGGCCCTTGGTGTTTGGGCTGGCACTCATGGGCAGGGGGAGGTGGTAAGGGCCAGGGTGGCAGCGTGCAGCGGCGCTGCCTTGTGTATTTCTGTTCCCTCCCCTGGGCTGCTGTGTGCCATCTGCTGCTCTCGGCATGGGCTTGGGACGCTTCTTCCCTGGACTTACGCAGCTGCTGTGATTTCTTTCTCCGGTTCCTTTGTCAGAGACATGGACTTGGGGGTGAGGGCCCTGTGGGATGTGTGTGCCCCCCCGGGACGGCTGGGTGAGCGGCAGAGCACTGGAGGGTCCTCGATCCCTGTGAAGCCAGGAGCTGCCAGGGTGTGCTCGAGTGGAACCAGCCCCTCCCCAGTGTGACAGCAGCACTTGAGAGAGACATGTTGGCTACACACATTCACTGTGTGTCAGGCCCACTGTCACCCGTGCCCTCTCTGACACAGGGTTCCACTGAAGCTTCAGCCATCAAGGACCACGTGGTGAAGCACGCCTTGCCCCTGGTGGGTCACCGCAAGACCTCCAATGATGCCAAGCGCTACGCCAAGCGCCCCCTGGTGGTCGTCTACTACACTGTGGACTTCAGCTTCGACTACCGAGCTGGTGAGGGGCTACCGTTGTGCGTTTAGGGGCCCCTGCGGGTTGGTGGCACAAGGGTACAGTTGCTAGGGCTTTGGAGCTATTTCTCACTCCTTTCCCTTTCATGCAAGAGAGGAGCATGGCATGGAGCTGGGCCCCTTGCAGATAAGGCTCCCAGCAGGAGCAGCCCAGCCTCAGCTCTTGGCAGGCGGGTGCTGTCCCCAGGGTGAGGTGCTGTCTGCAGGGCTTTCTCCAGTCGGGGTCCGGCTGGCCTCGTGCATCAGCAGAGATCAGCGGCCCCCCAGACCTTGCCCCGGGGCCCTGGCTCCACTCACAGTGCTTGGTCCCTTGCAGCCACTCAGTTCTGGCGGAGCAAGGTCCTGGAGGTGGCAAAGGACTTCCCCGAGTACACCTTCGCCATCGCTGACGAGGAAGACTACGCCACGGAGCTGGGTGACCTGGGGCTCAGTGAGAGTGGTGAGGATGTCAACGTGGCCATCCTGGACGAGGGCGGGCACAAGTTTGCCATGGAGCCCCAGGAGTTTGACGCTGACACCCTCCGGGACTTCGTCATAGCTTTCAAAAAGGGTGAGCACAGCCAGGGCTTTGCAGGGAGGGTAGGAGATAGGAACTAAGCCCCATCTCTGAGGCCTACCCTGTCCCCCTTGGTTGTTACACTTCTAGCCCTGGGGGAGCTACCAGGTCCCAGGCTCTTCAGCACTGACACCCCTCCCCTTTGTGCTCTTCTTGGCAGGAAAACTGAAGCCAGTCATCAAATCCCAGCCAGTCCCCAAGAACAACAAGGGCCCAGTCAAGGTGGTAGTGGGCAAGACCTTTGACACCATTGTCATGGACCCCAAGAAGGACGTCCTAATCGAGTTCTACGCGCCCTGGTGCGGGCACTGCAAGCAGCTCGAGCCCATCTACACAAGCCTGGCCAAGAAGTACAAGGGCCAGAAGAGCCTAGTCATTGCCAAGATGGATGCCACCGCCAACGACGTTCCCAGCGACCGCTACAAGGTGGAGGGCTTCCCCACCATCTACTTTGCCCCCAGTGGGGACAAGAAGAACCCAATTAAATTTGAGGGTGGGGACAGAGACCTGGAACACCTCAGCAGGTTCATAGACGAGCACACCACAGATCGGGGCAGGACCAAGGAGGAGCTTTGAGGCTGCTGCTCTGGGGTGGGAGGCCAGGGCTGTGGGCAGTGGCGGCCTTTTTGTTTTGTTTTGTTTTGTTTTTTATACTTCTGTATGTCACCTTGTGCTCTAAATACTGAATAGCCATGAATGACTAGTTTAGGCCAGATTTTTATGGAGGATACATCTATTTTTATCATTTGGGATCTGTTTTTTGTTTTTTTAACCTTCTACTTTCTTTAATATTTCCTCAAAGCACCTAAGTTGAATCTCTTCCATGTGAGAATGTTTTTTAATTTAAAGTTTAAAAAAACCTTTGCCAAATCATGCTGAGTTAGCCTTTTATTTCATGGTTGTCTGAGGAACTGTTAAAGAGATGGGACCGTTGGCGTCTTGGCTTCCTGTTGGTGGTGGCAGAAAGCTGTCCCTGGGCACCTGCCTGGGGTGACCTTTGGCTCCCACCTTGCAGCACCACCTCTGGGCATCTGCCAGGCCTGGGCAGCCCCAGTTTTCCAAACCGGTTTTGTTGCCACTGCAGAAGTGACCTTGGGAGACAGACCCAGGAACCTGCAAGTGATAGGAAGGGTGAGAAGATGGGCTAGACAGTCGTCACCGTGGAATAAAGCTTGTGGGTGGTTTGGCTAGTTTTATTTTTATCTCATGCAGCACAGGCTGGCCTTGAGCCCCTTTGAGCTGTGTGGCCCTGGGCAGGTGCCTTGGGCCCTCTGACCCTGTTTCCCACCTCTGCCATAGGCATGACCTCCTGAGGTGCTCTGTAAAGGCTCCAGCCATCCCTGTGGGGCTCAGGCCGGTGCACCTCGCAGTCACAGGGTGTCAGCAGTCGGGGCCTGGCCTTCTGGTTATGGAGCCACATGCAGTGAGCCGTGCTGGGAGCCCGCCATCTTCCCCCTGTAAAGAGGACATCAGTGCTGAATTTGGGCCTGCAGAGCCCAGGACTGACACCTGAAGGCCTCGCGTGGGTGTCGTAGCTGCTCACTGTCCCCACCCGAGTGACCTACTGGTCTGCACTGTGCTGAGGTGACCAGGTTGAGGTTTTGTCTGGGTGGTCAATGGGAGGAGAAAAGGCTCCAGCCGGTGAGGAGCGAGGCCCTGGGGCTCGGTGCCAAGCCGTCTAGGCCCTGCGCTTGCCTTAAGGTTGTCTCCAGCCAGGCTAGCATGGAGCGGTGTTTTGACCTCTCAGGACCCCTGCAGGGTTAAGATGGCCAAGTGCCATGAGAGCTGAGGCCCCTCCCAGGGGATGCCCTGGGTCCCCGCTGTTTCCCTGGCCACCTTTCCCGGTGTGACTCAGATGATGTCCTGAAAAGCCCTCCACGGCCGCCCTCCTCTTGGAGGAGGTTCCTCAGTGCACCCCGTGTCTTCGTGCATGAAGTGCAGATTCGGGGTGCCAGGCCCAGCTCCTGACCGCTTGCTGCCCTGGAGCCACGGATCTTCTCCACACTCCCCAATCTCCCAAATTCTTATCTTCACCCCTGTAATTCAGGCAGGCCAGGTCTCGCCTCCATCGTGGAGAAGAGGAACAGGTCAGCAATTAAGTTTCCCAAGCCCCTGGGTCCAAGTAGTTGGGAACCAGAGCAACCTTCAGAGCCCAAGTTCTTTCCCAGGTGCCAGTGTCTCCCCAGGGGTCTGAATGTCCCCAACAAAACTCGTTAAAAGGAAATTGAGCTCAACCTTGTGCTTGTCAGGCAGGCCTACCACTCAGCTGTATCCCCAGGCCCTCATGTTGAAATTACTGCCTTTTTTATGTATTTGGTGCAGGGTATTCAGGGTCTCACTATGTAGATCGGACTTACGATTCTCCTGTTTTCAGCCTCCCAAGAGCTTGCCTAGTCTCAATGCTGCCGTCTCAGCGTGCCCCAGAGGCGGGGCCAGCACATCACAAAGGGGATCAAACCCTGGCCGAGCTCGCTTAAACAGGACCTTTAATCCGCAGAGCTATTTGGCCAGCCCTCTCATGTTGAAGTTTAAGCCCCCGCCCTGTGGCTTGCTGAGTGGTGGGGACTTCTGAGAGGCTTTGGCAGTGTCACAATGGATCCTGGATTGATGGCTTAGCCTAAGAGCCAAGTTGCTCAGAAGGCCGCTTGGTACCGTCTTTGGCCTAACTGGGGACTGAGCCTGTGGCCTGCACTGCTGGGTGGGGCAGAGCAACATCCCACTTCCTCCTTTGGTTTTGTCAGCTCTTTTGAGATCGGGTCTAGCTGTATAGCCCAGGCTGTCCTTGAACTCGAGGCAGTCCTGCCTCAACCTCCGGAGGAGGTGGAATTATAGGCTTGTGCTACCATGTCTGGCTGGCTCTGGCTCTGTCCCCAGCTCAGAGCCCATCAGTGTGACCACCACTGGACAGCAGCTGACGACAGGTCTATTAAGCTCCCTCCTCTCTCCATACTGGCCCTGGGCCACCTCAGCGCTCCCTGCAGGGCGAGGAGCCTGCAAAACCACGAGCAAAAGGAGGTGTGCTCTGTACACAGGGCCAGGCCACAGAGAGGAGGAACGCAGCAGAACCCCTGACGGTTAGCTCGTGCTCCCTTGAAACTGCACTCTGCGCCACTCAGGAGGCTGAGGCAGGAGGGTCGGGAGAGTAAGGCCAACCAGACCAGACAATGGTCTGAGACCATGTCTCAAGGGGAGAGGGCGCTGGGATGGCTGGGGGCAGGCACAGCAGTGGAATGCCAGCCTGGCATGCAGGAGGCCCTGGCTTCAGTCCCTGGCACCAGAGCAAAGAGGGATGAAGAACTTTGTGATTTGGCTTAGAAGATACTTGAGCTCAGGGGCTTGCGGGTTAGCTCAGTTGTTAAAGTGCCTGCACCAGCAAACCCAGTCAGGTGCAGGGGACCGCGGTTCAATCCCCAGCTCGCGTGCCTTAGCAGACCCGCCCTTAAGGCAGCCTGAAGCAGCCAAAAAAGAAGATACTGGAGCTAAACAAACAAAAATGAGTCGTTGAAGAGCCCCCCACCCAGGCCTACTGGTGGCCTTGGGAGATGGTAGGACCTTGTATCAGCTTTTCTGACCACATACTCCAAAATCCCCAGGTCACCACAGTGACGTCCCCTTAATGCTGCGCACCGTCATCCTCCCACCCCAGCACAGCAGGTGACCAGGCATGGGGGGGGGCTGCGGACCAGCAGGGGCTTGACCCTGACCTCGTGGCCTTTGCGGTATGCATCCCAGGGGAACAAGTGACAAGTGTGACTTCTGCAGGTTCCACCAAACCTTAAGAGGACACAACTTGTGCAGCGATTCAATTCCCATCACTGTGAGTCAGGAAATTTGGAGGCAAAACTCGAGCTGTGGGGCACAAGAGCAGTGATCCCAGACCCCGGGCGCCGCGCACCCGGCCGCTGGATACCTTGGAGGCGTGGCAGACCCTCAGGCCACCTCCCTCTGCTGTCTCCTTTCGGCTCCACACAGCACAAGGTGAGCTCAGCTTCAATTTCCAAGATACAGGGGAGGAGACAGGAGCACTTTTTTTTTTTTTTTTTTTTTTATTTATTTTTGTTTATTACATTTATTTATTGTGTGTGTGTGTGGCCAGCTCAGCCCACCAGGGGGCGGGGCTG